TTTTTTTTTTTTTTTTTTTTTTTTTTTTTTTTTTTTTAAGAGAATACTGTGTATGAATATCGAAGAACGTTGAGGATTTATTTGGATAGCTATTTCGCGTATCAACCGCGAAGAAAATCGTTTCGTCGCCCTAGTTGCGGGACGAGTCGAACCAAATTTCTATTAGGATAATAATAATAGGCAACTATACCTTTTTACTTGTCAGAGTTCGTTCACGGGTTCTATTTGATAAGACTGCGTGTTTGTTAAATATGTATGTAAGTAGTAAGTTCTCGATAAGTTCGCAGTCCCTTCTTCTTTGCCTAACGGAGTGCACTGTCAAAGCCAAGATGATTTTTTTTTTTCCGTTTCTCTGTCGAGTCGATACGAAAATAACGTAAATACACGTTACATTTCATGATGATGCTTTTCATTTTCATGAGCCGTTCTCTTTAATTAAAATATTTTATCTTATTTATATAATTATAATTATTTTTTTGTTTTTCAATTATAATAATATAATATTTATATTGTGTATAATATAGATGTTATATTATAATATATAAGATATTTTGAAATATTTAATTTCAATTTTTAATTTATTATGTAATTTTATTTTAGAAATTTGTATCTTCTGTAATTATAATGAAATGTGATGGTTTCGTTGGAGAAACTAACAATTTTATAGCTCAAATTTTGATAAGAATAATTTTGATAATATTTTTAAGTTTATAAAAACTTATAATTTTTTTTTCACATGAATATCTTCATAATAAAAAATTATCAAAAATTTCTTCATGACTAGAATATTCATTAATAGTAATTTAAAAAATATGCTTTTTTTAAATTTATTTTTTTTTAATAAAAATTTAGTAAAGAAAATGATACAAATTTCGATTTTTGATTTATCTTTCAAAATGCTAGATAAAAAATTTTCATTAAGAAGAATAGCGCATGTATCGATCGACGTGCAAATCCTTTTTCAACATTTTACGTCTTCCCATTTGTCGAAACAAAAAAAATACGTACCTGTTATTTTTGTATCGAATCGATTTTTATAGAACGATGCGTTCAATTTCGACGCGTCAATCGGTACCTGAAGAAATGTAGAAGCAAGGACTGCGAATGGGTTATTTTTAAAATAGTCGCGGACATATCAGGAGTGGGCATATCCTGAAAATTGGTTGCTCGTGAAAAATGGAGTTTAGAAAAGA